GAGATGTTGGTCTATGGTTTTGTTTTCTTTTGATGCATTTCTCTGGTTTTGTTTTCCGGTTAACAGTGGCCTCATAGAACTATTTAGGAAGTGCTTCTTCCTGTTCTATTTTTTGAAAGAGTTTACGGAAGAATTTGTGTCAATTCTTCCGTAAATGGTTGGTAGCATTCTGATCTGGGCTTTTCATGTTGGGAAGTTTTGATTTCTCATTCAATCTTCTTACTAGTTATAGATCTCTTCAGACTTTCTCCTTCTTCTTCAGTTACTTGTGTAGTGTGTGTGGCTGTGGCAATTTGTCTATTTCATCTAGGTTATTGTTTTGTGCTGGTCTCAGCCTATCAATAACCAGTGTTGTGGCAGGACTGGCCCTTGCGTTTCTGTTACTGAACGAGACTTGGGTCTGCTTCCCCTCCTCTAGTAAAGCCAGTCTACTGACATCAGCTTGTGGTAAAGGAAAGTGTAGTGTTTATTATAAGGTGCCAGGCAAGGAGATCAGGGCAGCTAGTGCTCAAAACACCTGAACTGCCCAGTGGGCTCCAGGAAGGCATTTTTTTAAAGACAAAGTGAGGGAGGGAATTCTCAGGGTATGTTACCAGCTCTTGCACAAATCTCTGATGGGCTGATGGTGAGGTAGCAGGGTGATTGTCATATCTATTCTCAGTCCCCAGTAGGTCTGAGGTCTACTGTGCGCTTAGTCATCAGGTACCTAACTTCCTCAATTTGCTGGGGGTTCTAGCATCTGCAAAACAACACAGGGAATGTGCATCAGATACTGTTATCTAAGTATTTCAGAGAGGAACTGAAACAGACGACATGGCGGGAAGAGGTGTCCTGGGAAGGCCCCATAGGCTTTCTCAGTTACACTTCTCATTGTAATTATAAGATGCCCTTCAGCAATAACTATCAGGAAACTTTGAAGAAAATAAAGTTTTATTACTTATAAGACCTGGAAATGACACAGTTCACTTGGGGCCACACAGTGAAGTCACAAAGAGGAAAGAGAGAGAGCACATGGGCTTGGGGTTCTGCTTTTACTGAAGTGGTTGGTGGGGACCTAGGATTTGGGCTCACCCTTTGCTGGTGAATTTAAAACATAAGAGCCAGAATTTAAAGTGTGGGACGTTACACTGGGATTTGACACAACATTTTAAAATGGTTATAAATCAATGAAAAATGTTAAAATAAAGTGTGGGAAGAGATCAAAACAAGTAGCTGAAATGGTCAGTTATTGAAATCAGTGAAGATCTCTAAAATAAAGGAGCTTCAGTAGGAGGAAGTGGCCTGGCTCTTTAGTCCCCTGGCTGGCAATGTGTTTATTGTCTTTGAAGTGGGTGCCTCTTTGACATGGATGCCTGGGCAAAGAAAGCTTAAGTCAAGCACTAGCGTTACAAAACAAACGAACAAACAAACAGCCAGGGCTTACACTGCAGTTATCTAATTTGCTCATAGATTCTAATAATTCTTTGTAAATTCAGACAGTATACATGTTACCCAGCTCAGGTCTCGATGCTCCCTGCTCGAAAGCCAATACTCTAGAGGCAAGTGTTGGTAGAAAGGACAGTTTGCTTTAATCAGAAGGCCAGCAATCTGGGGAGAAGTCAGACTTGTATCCCAAAAGCAACTCCCAAGATTCTGCTCAGCCATGATCATTTTTAAAGGGGAAAAGGGGAAAGGGTCTCAATGAATCATTAAGGCTGCAGGTCAAGTTCTGCATCAGTTCCCATTGTGTGCAGGCTGGTTAACTCCTCATTACTTTCCTTCAGATGTTGTCTCGTCCATGTGGTCTG